GGTGCACCGTTCCCGTTCCCATTCCCGTTCCCGTTCCCACCTTCCGGGGCTCCGTAGCTGCTCGAAGGTCCGCCATTAAACTGGCCTTTGCCCGATCCACCGTTCCCACCGCCGAACCCATTTCCTCCACCAGGTGCTCCGTAAGTGCTCGATGGCCTTCCGTTCCCCGAACCACCGTTCGATGGCGGACCGTACGAGCTGGATGGCGAGCCGCCTCCGAAACCGTTTCCTCTACCGTTGCCGTTCCTTCCGCCGTTCCCGTTCCTACCGTTGCCGTTGTAGCCGTTGCCTCCGCCGGTCGGCACTCCGTAGCTGTTCGACAGACCGTTGCCGCCGCCATTGCCGCCGCCCCCGTTGCCGTTCTGCCCGTCGAAACCGGGAGCACCGTAGCTGCTCGAAGGCGGTCCGCCGCCTCCGCCGTTGCCACCGCCCGGTGGCAAGTACGAGTTCACTGGAGGCTCCGAGCGCACCAGGCTCAGGGCCACGATGAATACTGCTAACACGATCTGTAAGTTCCGGCAGTTGCGCCTCCGTGAGTGTCAAAAGTGTTATGCTGGATGCTGCAGAGTTCTTTTAACGTTCCTTTAACCCCTTGCTTTGCGATAGCGTGTCGGACTCGTGAGATTTTAAAACAAGCTTAACGTTACCGAATTCTTGTCAATTCGAATTAAACGTTACTCTTCTGTTATCAATTACTATACCTTATACATTCGCACAGAATGTACCTGGTTCTTGTTTTGAGTTTCTATGGATTATTTGTAACGAAGTAGTTGCATCGATCATTGCTGAGAAATAAATCGTAGGGCAAGGGGTTGGTGGTTTTGGAATTTGGTAGGTTCACTTTCGTGGAACTAGAAGTGTGGAGTATTTGAATTATCGTGAAGGCTACTTGTAAGATTCTTTGCTCTCTACGCGAGCAATCGTGATTGTGTTAAGTGGAAATAAGGGACAAACATATTAGGTGATTCTGTAATTAATATGTTTGATACATTCTGGAAATCAAGCTTGTATTACACCTTAAGATACGAAATGATAGTTTGTATTCCAGAAGTGTTTAGTAATAAGCGGAGCTAAAGTTGTTGTAATGTGCTCTGTTTCCAATGTAGTAGTTTGTTAATTGTCCGCAACACTTCTTGTTTCATATTGTTTATAAAAGACTAGCATCAGAAGCTTAATAAATGTACGGATAAACAGACAAACTGCTGAGAGGGCGAACATCCACGAAGTTCGGACATCGTTCCACAAGTAGAACTAGTGAGCAATGGCCAGACATAGCTTCGACCCTATTCAAACTACATATTTAACTTTCTTTAAAAACGCTGCTTTCCAAATGACTTCACAAGATACCTATAGAAATACATTTCCTCCAACGTTGAAACTTACTAACCCCTAAATACGAGCATTACCAGCTACAACAAACAGCTTTTCACATCACGCGATCCACAAATTCGCTAAAAACTCTCCGGTATCAACTCTAAGAGAACCAATTCCAATAGAAGCTTATAAAACCTACATTCTCAGGCCCACGAGAAACCAAAGCTCCCGAATCTAACAGAAAATTCATCAATTTCAATAGTCCCCGCCAAGAAAATCGCAGCGCCGACCCCAAGATCCGAAATCCAAGGAGCTATCGTCCAAGAAGCCGGCACGATCTCGGGTTTCCGTTTCGACACACGTCGTTACGAGTGGTTCCCTAACCGCGCAGACAATCCCCCGCCGGCGCAAGCTTCTTCCTCTGTTCCGATGCTTATCAGTTGCGACAGATATAATTTCGCTTCCACGCGATGCCCGTGGCGCGCGGCGTTTCCTCACCTTAGACATGTCGGCGAACCGGCGTCCCTGTGTCCCCGTCGAACAATGAAACCTCGACCGTTCCCGCGGTTGTCTCGTTCCCCCTCGGCTCTTATCCTTGAGAAGGTGAGGTGTCCCGGGTAGATCACGCGAGCTTGGCCGTTCGGCGATCGGCTGTTGGACTGCGCTCCTGCGGGTTTAGGTAGCTACCTTGACTGCTCGCGGACACCTTCTACCACCGTGGCACGGTGTCGAGGGAATGACAAACTTTGCTTCTAATCCGCTTTATATATCCCCGGGATTCATCCGTGTTTCTAGATCACGGTTTGGTGCAACGCGCGCGGCTCAGGATTTACCGGCCGAGGCAACGTGTAACTGTGTCACGGTGGTGTTGAATCGGCCGGTGACGGTGGTAATGGTGAAGAAGAGTGGGACCGCCAGGCAACCAGCCACCTAGCGTACGGGTTCGTTCCATATTTCACGGGTTACGAATCCTATATTGTAACGCAATGCGGCGCATCATTAACTTCGAGAGCGTCGTAGCCGATTCCCTCTCTTTCTTTCTTTCTACCTCGACGCCTGCGCCTCTCGCCCTCCCTCCTGTTGTCTTCTGTCTTTATCGGCCGGCGATCTCGAGCGGACCGAACAAGGATACAGGACGCCGGCAAGGATTACGGACCTTCTAAGGATGGCGAACCTTCGACCGCTCGTTTTCGTTAACCGTCTTGATTAATACCGGCTCGCGTTTTCTTCTCGCATTCGGACTTTCACGAAATTGTTCGACGCATCCCCCGGCTCTTCCTCCTCGGCGTGTACGCCGGCGAATAGAGACATTGGGCAACAGCTCGCGGCCGGCCTGCTAATTACGGGATAACCGCGTGATTAGAGGACGGAATGTTATCCGACGCGGACGCAGTCGGATGATGATTGATCGGGCGCGGTGATGGATAGGACGCTGGGGGGTGGATTCGGATCGCCCGCGATCGAGGCGTCGATCAGTCCGGTCGTTTCTGGACTGAAACAAATTTGAATATTCGCGTAAGAAATTGAAGGTTACCGATGCGTTGCTGAGGAATACTTGCTGTGTCAAATGATTTTCATTTCGGAAAGAAAAATTTTTTGCAATTCTGGTTTTCTGTTTATATAACCTTGGAATCGAAACGCGAAATATTCGGTTCGAATTTTGAACCGTGCTTGGTTTGGATCGGTGATCGAACCTTGGGTTTTTGGGATTAATTCGGTGTCGTGATAATTGGTTGTTTATTATTAACGTAATTAACTTTATTTTTCTATTAGGAATGAAAGTTGTTCTTTTAGTCGTGAGAATGATTGAGTTGTCTTGAGAATGTAATATCTTATATTAAATATTAATATGAATGTTGCAATTCTCACGTTTCTTAATTATAATCCTTTAACTAAACGTGCAATTGTATTCTGGATTACGATAAGATAAATATTGTATTCGAGTATAATCGGCGAGGAAAATCCGAATCCGAACATTCAGTTACACAAGCCCAAATCCGGACACTTGAGTGCTCTGATCCGGATTTCGAAACCAAGTTCGAGTTACAATGAGCGTTTCAAGTACACCTGTGACGTTCGAGATGTCCGGATAACAAGAGGTTTTATATGTACTCACATAGTGTGAGGGATTCTCTTTTTACGCAGCGTATAGAATGATAATTTTTAATAGAAGTTTCTGAGAGTGACAAAAAGGAATTGTTCTTTAGCCTCTGAGGGAAAATGAATTTCATTACGTTGCAGTGGCCCCTAAATCGTTTTTCAAGATACAGATTCGTAGTCAACTGACACAATTCTCTTTTGTAATTATATATGTAAGTTTAAAGAGTTAAAAGAGCAATACAATAGCAATTTATTATTTTATTTACTTATTCGGTTACCTATTATTTTATTTATTTATCCATTTTCCTATTATTTTATTCGCTCATCATCGTCTTTATCGAACAGAACAGTTACAGACCAAAGAAACAGTTTCGTTCGCAAAGAAAGTATTTTAAGTGCATCAATCGAATCGAACAGGACAACAAACATTGAGGAATGAACGGCGGCAATGAAGGTGTCAACTGAACATTTTCTAAACGGAAAACGTCTCTTTGGCAATGCTTATTTATTTAATATCAAATTGTTCGCGTGTCGGTGTTTTAATTGGTTGTGAAACAAAATGACTGGTATATTTAGCGAGCGTTAAACGCCGCTTACTCAAAATACATCGCTCACTTCGATCATCTATTTAATTTCGCAACCGATAAGTAGCCTTCGACATGAATGTCATGGATTTGATACAGTCCAATTTCCATGTGGCGTAATATGCTTATGCTTTCAACTTGATGATCCCGTGGCATACATAACGCTAAGATCAGTGGCGAGGTATTATCACTTTACAATACCAATTTCTTTCGATTTGCCTGACAGCACATCTAAACGTGATTGCCTTCCGTCGGTCGTAAACGAGTCACGCGAAAACCGAATCGTTCCCGACAAATGGAATTAATTTCGTAAAAAGAAATAATCGTGTCCGATACACCGGGTAAAGGGTAATGAAACGTTTAACAAACAGCTGGATGACACAACGAATTTTCCTGAAAGAGTGTCACGCGCCTCTTAAACATACCGCGGATTGTCAGTTTCGAACAATCCGAGAATTAATGGTAATTTCAATCGTGCCAAATGATGTTCGTATAAAATTCAAGCCTTTCTATATAGTACACGCAATTACTATCTTTATTATTTTAAAGTTGTATACTCGTTTGACTGCCAGTAAGTTGAAACACGACAAAGCTTCTTACTTTATTATGTAACAGTAATAAAATACAATATTTATTTATATTTACTACGAAAAACAGTCTTTCTTAACAATAAATCAATTTCATCGAACCATTATCGCAGTCGTTAAGTTAGTAACTTGGCAAGTAAAAAGTTTCTCTGAGTAATCCAAAAATTCGACTAATCAACTGTTCAACTGATTCGAGTAACCCAAAAAATTTTCTAAGTAAGAAAAGGAATAAAAATTCAATTCGAAATAAGTTTCCAAATGTGTCTGTCGTCTACGTGTCTCGCTCTGAAACAGAATAATCCCTTAAAAGCGATCGCGATCGTCGCTAATGGAGACATCGGAGCGTTCGAGTGTCCGCCATTTTTCACGAAATAAGATATATCGCCCCCTTAACATTCAGCGGCAAAAAGTCCGCCGTTTACGTACTTCGCGGGACGATCCGAAAGATTCTATAAAAAGTAAGACCGTCGGCGATTCGTGGGGGGAGGACTGGAAAAGGAGAGATGGCAATTAAACCTATTATGTCCCGTACGGTTAAGGCAACCGGCGTGCTTTCTGCTCGCGAGACTTTCTCATCCATGGCTCCTTTTTTTCTCTCCTTTCAGCGAATGCTCACGTCAGGGTATAGACCATCGCTGCTTAAAATGTACATACGTGAATCCCGATCGGATGCCGATCCGATGCATTTTAATCATATACTTTAGCATGGGATTATGGAGCCGGCTGCATCTGTGACAGCGTTCGATGAAGAGATGTAACGAGTCACGTGTTAACCGTTTATTAGGCGGATAATAAGTATGGGAATAATCGTATTTTCTTTTTCTATTTAGTTGCTTACGTAACTAGAGCTACCGAGCGTTTCAGTTGAGGACGGAGTGAGAAAGGAAATTTTAACAAGCCTTTTTTTTGGTTTCTTCGTATGTGGATTATAGTATTCAAGTGGAACTATTCATTTTGAAGATTATTTCGGACGTTTAACGCTTTTGTAATTTCTGTAAGTGAATATTTTTACACGTGGACACGGTGGTATTACAAAGCGAGAATGTAAAACATCAAAATGTATAGAAATTACCAGAAACTTGAATATAATTTAATGTTTTATTAGAATCAATACAGTTCGTAAGTAAAATATAACCGAAATTTCCGCGAGGAAGCTGAGACCCGTTATTTTGAAGAGTCCGGTAGTTGTAGTGTTGAATGTTTGAATTTTAATCAGTTCGTAAGTATTATTGAAAACTATTGCAATTTTAATAGATTCCTAAGTATCGTTGAAAACTAAGTTTACTCGTGTTTCTATTAATTTAAGAAATATGTAACTTTATCATAAAAATAGTTTGATGGCAACTAGTTTAATCGAATTATTACAAATGGAATTATATCGTCTTAGTGATAGATAATTATGCAGTTGCAAAATGTAAACAGGAAATTGTCAAATTATATCTGCATTTATTCTTTATCCGACGTTCTCCAAAATGGATTCCCATCAGCGTCGTAATCAACAGCCGACTTATTCTATTACATAATGTTAGCCCACAGTTTCATAAATAACAGAAATTCGAGAAGAGTATCGTTCAACGAGCATGTTAGTTATCTCGGTCCATCTTTAATGCGCTCTCAAACGTACGAGTGCTTGCCTAGGTGTACGCAAGGTGGTCCATGTAAATGGAATTACATAATACGTTATCCGCCATACTTACATCTACTAAAAACAGCGGTTTATCTATATCAACAATATCCTGAAAACAAAAATATATTTCTCCACCTTCCGAGCAACTTTTACTACATTGTCCCATTGAAACGTTCATCGATTACAAACAATTCACCGATAAAAAGACCTCTTCAAAAAATACATCGATCCCTTCGGTTCCTCTGATATTTTTCAAAACGAGTTCACACCGCTTCGCGACGTATCCAAACAAACAGTCAAATATTTTAATGTCTACAAGTCGTCCAATAGAAAGCGTGCGACGACGAATTTCCTCGGGCGCGTCGGGAGACAGGTAATTCATTAATTTTGTCCGACTAATTAAGCCTGATTTGTTTAATTACCCCCGAAATGGAGGGGAAAAAACGGAAGAAGACGAAGACGAAGGAGAATAAGAAGAACTGTCGCGTCACGGAATTAGTAGGGCACGCAGACACACGGATTCAACTGTCCAACGTGTACACACGCTCGCATCCTGGATGCAGAGAGTTTGTGCAATCAGTGAACTCGTGCTGAATACAGGTGGTGGCAACGTGGGATGTTGGTTAAGATAGGGATACATTATGCAAGATTGCGTCACGGGTTTATTGTATCAGCAGCTCATCGTACACGAGTGAGATAGCGGACGAGGCACCGAGCAGATTTATTTTATATTTCCTTTTTTTCCCCCCTCCCCCTCCTTTATTTCGTTGCCCGTTCGTTTTTTCCCGCTCTTCTTTTCCGCGATCGGGGATTTATGGCTTGCTCGAACACTGAAATTCGTCTTAATCGCTTTCAGATACGGTTTTCGATTGTATCGCGGCGTGTCTGGGCTTTCATTCTGCCCGGCTACGTTCCGCGGGCGCGTTACGAGACACGACGGACCCGAACTGCATAAATCGCATTCGCGCAACACCGCCGCGAGAGCGCAGAGATTTAATAAATGACCGCGGGCGAATCTGCTTTACACTTTGATAAAGACGACTCCTCTCGCCCTGGCGACGTTGACGCATCGCGCCGCCGGAAAACGGAGTTCCCTGGAGATCTTCGCGGGGAAAGGGAATTTTTGTCGTCTTTGAGTGCTTTAGAGCACTTGGTAATGTTGGTCTGCGAATTAAGGGGACAGAGAGGGATATTTTCGTGGAGCGAAGCAGATTTTTACCAGATCCGAATGATTTCGACCGGTTGACGAAACGAAAACGGAGTTTCCTGGAGATCTTCGCGGGGAAAGGGAATTTCTTTGAAATTTTCGTGGAGTGAAGGAAATTTTTATAAGATCTGAATGATTCGTTCCAATTTCAATCTTTCGATATTTCGTTTAGAAGATTTATTGGATCGAATAAAATATTACCGTTGAGGAGGTCCTCATCGAAGTGAACGCTGGTAGAGAACGTGTTAAGAGGACTGGAGAGGGAAGTTTTCATATTTCTTAATATTTGAAAATGACTTGATGCAATTTCTTTGAAATTTTCGTGGAGTGAAGCAGATTTTCACCAGATCTGAATCATTCCGACCACTAGACAATATTTAAATTTTCACCAGTGTTTGTTGGTTAGTAGATTACTGATTAGCGAATTAAGGAGAACAAAGTGACAAATTTTGGTGTTTTTTTATAATCGTATTATGCTAACTTGGTGCATAGAATGAGAGAAACTTTCACTGCCCCGGGAAACGTTCGGTGGTTTAATAATGTTTACCGATTGTGTGGATTAAGAATAAATACAGTAACGATTTTGTATACGTTTGAATACTTCAACAAGTCATTACATCATTCCAGGCACAATCAAAGCGTTACTATTTAATCGTTACATAACCCTCTTACAAGAATCAGAAAAATTGGAAGAGTACCCGGCAACTTTAATGATAACAAAAATGATGTTCCTCCGATCATTGCTAAATCCAACGAAAAAAAAGACTAAAAGTGATCGGTCGACAATCCTCTGAAAAATCAACATTTCCCTTAATTGACCGTTCACTCATTGCTTTTCCAGTTGCATAAATCCACTTTCGAAATCGTACACTAAAATTATGCTAATCCCATTGTAAATCCATCATTTTCTTCTTTCTTTTCATCTTCAACCTCTTCTCTTTTCTAATTGTCTCGTAAAGGCTCGTTCGAACTAAGCAGCCGGTGACGCGAATTTAAAATAAATACGAACCTCTCGTTGTAGTTCCCCGGGTTTTTTGCGGTCGCGTGTAACAATTTGTATTTCGGGTTACACGCGTTTCATATTTCATATAAAAACATTATGAAACAGGCTCGGATTAACAACTCCGTGGACGCGTTGCGCGACACGCCGCGAGATAAACGCTTATTGTGCTCGCGGTGTAGAGACGTCATCGTGCATGCTTAAGAGAAAAGCAAATGAGCGGGAGTAAATGAAATTACGGATGGCCAAATGAACTCGGTGGGGGCTTGCTTAATAGTTTTTCCGATGGTTATCTCCGCGGCGGTGCGTCCGACGAGGAAAGATAGCAAATTAGTTTCGGAGATAACCGATTGCGTAAAGCGATCGCTCCGGGTTTACGTGCGTGCGCAACTTTCGCAGTTTTATCCAGTTCGATTGTTTCACCGTGTCATCTCGGCTCGCCTCAAACGAGCAATTTATTATGCTCGTTATATCGCCGCGCTTACTTTCCTTCGCCGAACGCAATTCCCCTCGGTCGCTCCTATCTCTTAAACGCTTTACGATTTTCATCCTTCCCCCGAGCGCGTCGTTCGACCGGCCGCGACGAACGCTTCGCTCGCGAGAGAAACAATTTTCAAGCGATTTCACGTCTTTATTATCTCTGCAATTAATTATTCGCACCGCGAGTCTCTCTGCACACGTCGAAATCTGAAGCTGATCCTCTAAGACATCAGAAGACTGCTAGATCATCCCGTAAATGATCATTCCTTACGAATTCTTCAATTAACCGCCATCTTACTTCTCGAGAATCAATGAATCACTCGGAAAATGAGAAAACGAAGAGATCAGAGGAAAAGAGAAAAGATACATCGATTCATTCTTTACACTAGGAACTAGTAACAACGATAGATAATAATAAATAATAATAAAACGAACAATCTAATATCAACGCATTCACCGTATCATGATCTACAACCCGCGTTACCGTATCGACACCGTTAAAACGAGATTTCGCGAGAACGAAGCTCGTTCTTTCGTTCGAAGCTCGAATATTCAGGAAACAATCCAGCTTGCCGCCGCTCGCAGCGAGAAGATTTCGATCGTATCCCATCAAACCACTGTCTAGGACGTTCTCCAGGGGAATACCGTTTACTCCTTATACGACGCAAGTAAAAATGGCGACGCGGAGTCTCGCAAGACCGCGAAACCGGCGCGCCGGCGCGTCCCTCGGCCGCTGCAAATTTAGCAATTCCGCGGCACGTTATCACGATACCGCGACCGATCGATTCGCAAGATAGTTTTATCGGTGGACGTATGCACATTATAATAGGGCGCATCCGTTCTAAACGGCGGCCATTTATTCCGATGAATCAGAGCGTGCTTTCTCTGGCCGAGCCGAAGACGTTGCTGATGTTATACCCGTTCGATACGCGGCCGCGCGGCATAATCGGAGGAGTTTCACCACTTCTATCTTTCTCTCCCTCTCCCTCCCTCTCTCTCTCTGTCTCTCTGTCTCTCTCTTTCTCCGTCTGTCTCTCTTTCCCTCTCTGTTTGATCTGTGAAAGTGTTGGTGGCCTGAAGATGAGCGCTCGTGCTACAGTTAGGTAATGTTCTTTTGCCCGATCTAATTTACTGTCCCTACATCGATCTACAACTGTCTCGCCGAATTGCAACATCCGCGCCGTTAACGATGCAATGCGCGGTTAGGCGCTTACGCTTTTGATATAACGCGGATGACTTATTGCCGGCGAGCAACGGCTACGCGCTCGTTCCGCCGTTTACGCGGCCCGACGGACGGGATTCGGATTTTCGCGCGACGACGATCGCGACGATTGTTCTCGGGACGGTTCGCGAATTCTTTGTTGTGTGACATTCTATTGTTAGGATTTGTAATTACAGGTGCAGACGTCATTATTTAAGAGTACAATTTAAATGATAAGTGGCGATTGTCTGGGATTATTGAATTGTTAGAACAATCGGTTGACAGCTTTCGATGAAGATTCTGGGAGTGAGTTGTCTTCGCTCGGGTTTTTTGGTTTATCGGAGGAGCAGCGTGGTTGTAATAAGAGTGCTAATGCTATTGATGAGATAGGATAATAAGAAACGATCTGTTTAAGTAAAGCTTCGTTCACTTCTGCGAAAAGAAGCGGAGGAATATTATTTCCAAGGGGTAAGTTCGTTGCTGTTGACGACTTAGGTCTAATTCAACTGAATTCCAATGCCAACCTTAACGCAATGAACGCAAACGAACAATGTATTTAATAGTCTTAATAATCGTATTGAAACATATCTTGCAACTTTGACATTGCAGTGGCGTTGAACTTTCACGCTCGAAATTTGATGTCAGTTAATTACTTCATTTCATTCGTCACTTTCCCATGCGAAACGAGACGAATCAACGAGATGCCAATGCATTGGTGTACGCTCCAGCTTCCGTGTCACGAAAAGAAACACGGAACTCGGTAGAATAATCGTTCGCTCTCCGCGATTCGCGACACTGTGCGTCGTGGCTGTTGGCGCGCCGTGAAATCGGTATTGCAAACAGCCGCCGATAGCGCATTTAACGATGAAGAAATGAAACGATTCTAGCCGATGCATCCGCTGAAGTAACGTTTCGAGTGCAAAAGGTTAATTTCTATAATCCCGCGTTGAGCAACGAGAGAGACATCCTCCGTCTGCGAGCGGTGAAATGATACCGGTGACCAGCAACGTCGGGGTATTAAAAAAGACAGAGCACGCCTAGACAAGGGGATTCTCACTTTTACCCGCGCGATGGTTTGCAAATCATTTGCGCCATCAGCGGCGAACCGTCGATCGCTACCTTGAGGCCGACGTTGCCGATCGTACGCGGTTCTCGCGATGAAGAGTTCAAGGCGGTTTCGCGCGATAAAAAGAAGGGGTACACTCTAGACTGGAAAAAAAGTAAGGCCGAGTCCTGCTCGCTTGATTGATGAGCTTGACATTGGGGGAAGGTTGATTCATGGCGGCGTCGAATACGGAATAGATCCGATTTGCACCGCTGCGTGTTAACCTCTTGCCCTATGCTGGGATCTATGGATATCCTGATGAAAATTTGAAACTAAATTTGACAAATCTAAGTGTTATCTACTTTTCTTCAATACGAATGAAATATTTCTGTTCTAGTATCTACATTCTCGTCTGAAGCAAATTCGGTGAATAGAATGAGCAGCGAATTCTTTGTTTTCCGATGAATTATTAACGTTGAGGTGGTTTTATAATTGTGAAAAATATCGTGGGAAAAGGGGTTACATTGATGGGAAGAATTAGTTTATAGGATTTTAAGGAGATTGAATGTTTTTAATAAACTTCTGTATTGATAGAGAATATGTTATTGCATGAATTGTTTGCACGGAGGAGAAGATGACGAGAGAGAAAGGAATTTAGAGCACAGATTTTATTAAGTAGTAAAATAATTCGCGTTTACGTATGTTTAAATATTCATTGGAAGTATATTTTGACGGTTGTACGTGTGAAACGAATGGAATTAATACGAAATCGTTCGAATTATGTCCATATGTTGCATTTGTTCTTGGGATTCATTGCGCTACCAACTGGACAGTTGAAGGATTTGGCGAAGTCGTCGGAATTCGACACGGAACCGATCACCCGGAGACGACCTGTACTATGCACGTCATACTTCGCGCCTCTCTTCACGGCTTCTGGGTTCTCGGCTTCGCACCACAGCTGTAAATAAATGTCAAATATACTATATTCCTCTAAACAAACAAAAAATCCAACTTCCCATTAGAAACGAAATCCTATTTCAATTTACATTTCTAAATACTTCCGATAATTATATAGCTTCAGATTACTTACTCCAATTCGAAATTTGTAAACTTTAATAAATTCACGAATTCAAATGCTGGAAATACAGAGTTTACAAAGTTCGAGTTGGATTTCAATAAATTCACGGATTCAAATACTAGAGATACTAGAGTAATTATATATTCTATTAGATTCTATTAGAATATTAAAATAATTCTTTACTATCCGACGAGTTGCCATTTCTGTAGCAATTCCTGAACACGCAACGTCCCAGTTCGAAACAGTAAGAAGACTCACGTTAGCGAAAGCTAAGAAGAAGGTTTGATTGTTGTCGTATTTCTCTAATCCTGGTAACGCTGGATCTGGTTTATCGCATTCTCTTAATCGTCGCTGGTAAGCTCTGAACACAGCCTGCAGACCCATCGTGTCGGCAATATTTTCGCCCGCCGTTCGATTACCATAATCCTGCAATTATCGAGACACAAAATATTAATAATGCTACATCGATTTCATAATATTTAATGAGTTCCACTTTCACCGGATTATCGCCGCGAATCGTTTACCTTAACTGTGAAATTATCCCCTTTAACGAGGCTGTACTTGTTGAATTGGTGGACGAAACACTCTGCCCTCTTATCGTAAGCCGACGCCATGGCGGACAACCATTCCATAGGTGTACCGGACATATCGTACAAATGACCTGCAAACAATGGAACAATTGTTTCTCGCGAATATTACCGGCGACGTGTGCGTCAGGAATTTATTTTACCTTCATCATCGAAGCCATGATTCACTTCGTGAGCCATAACAACTCCAATAATACCAAAGTTCACATTCCTAAATTGAAAACATTAACGTCTTAATATTTTAGTTCATTTAACTGATGAGATTTAATTAACATCTTAGCCTTATATCGACGGTATGTTCGTTTAAATAGAGAAAGCCGTTCGAACCCGAGAGGAATCGATAAATACTATTTCATTATATTTCATTCTAATATAATTATTGCATTATATATATATATATATATATATATATATATATATATATATATATAAATAGTGTAACTAATTTATGTATGAATTATTTACCATGGCCTATTCAGCGCGAAGAAAGGATTTTGGAGATCAGCTGCGCTGATTGCTGTAGCAAAGGAAGAAGATTACTATCGTTAACAAAAATATAATGCTTCGTTATTAATTATTGAATGAAAATACTTTTCTACTGAATTTCATTTCTATAAATTATTCAGTGCATACAGTCTTTATAAAAGTCTACACACACTTCGAGAGTTGGACTAGAATTAAAATAGATGACGGTTTTAGATATTTTGCGTAAATTCTGATTGACTGTGTCATACAAGAATTCGATGATGTCTGTTTCTTTTAATTACCTATGGAATTATCTGTTGGCATGAAGAACGCGTTTAGCATCAGAGGATCTACAGATACCCTGTAAAAAGCACACAACTGTAGAACACACAACATATAGAACAAACTTTATCGCCAACGTTACTAACTGAGATCTTACTCTGGCAAATCCGAATCTTCTAATTTACGCAACTCCTTCAATTTGCGGTGTCTCATGTAGTTCTGTACGTTTTCATAAAAGCTTGGGCCAATCGTAAGCTGTATCATAAACAAATAAAGGTACAATACTATTTTACAATACTATTTTACATAAGTGATCCACTGTCTTACAAAAACCAATTTCTATAAAGAACATAACGTTGTGTTAAACGTTTAACGTGAATCGTTAATGAAAACGAATTACCCCTTGGAAGTAACGTTTAACGGCGGTAGTATTGCGGAACCATTCTGGATAGCCAATCATATTTTCCATATGCACCAGTTTGTCCAAAATGAAGTGCTTCGTGTCCTCGTCCATCCATGTTGACTCCTTGATCTGATATTCAACTTCCTTTTGTATATCGTCGATCATGTCTCGGGCCTGCAGTGACAGCAAACGATATAAAATAATGTTCGAAGACATATCGGCGATAAAACTATGATTCTAACAAATATTCATATATTAACGATTACCGTTTTCTCTAACTTTTCCGAGAAATGTTTCTTGGCATATTGGTACGCTATTACTTCGGACAATTCCACTTCCATGCACAGGTCTTCTCTATAAGAACGCGAAGCGCGAATAGTTTAAAATGAAATTATATAATTTTACAAGAAATTACCTTTCCTCGAGGTCTGCACCAAACCGATTGCCAGATAAATCACGCACATCTTGCGAGATCATGGGCGATATGAGATCGATGAAGATCCAATGGACGTAATTCACTGCAGCGAATAGATAACGACGTTAGCTGACGATGTTTCCGAGAAATAGTAAAGTAATCAAGTGAAATAACCCTTTGCACTCTAGAGGCGCCTCTTAGTCGCGAATTGATTTGATACAGTAAAATCGTAAAGTTTGATATTCGATATTAAACTTTGTACGCGAAACATTGAAATAAATCGTTTCGTTCCCCAATTTACGTGCGCTTTCTCGTCAAATCAGTTTCACAGAATGTCGTTTACGTCTCATTCCTGTCGAGTACATCTAGTGAAAAACTTACGTAGTGCAAAGGGATAATAAAGAGCAGAAAAATGATTAAACTTTTCACCGAGTACTTCAGCCGGCGTTTCATCGAGCAAAGCGTGCAGCTTGTCGAAATAATCTGGGCACGTTAATACGACGTCCACATCTCCCTCGATCTCCACTCCTGCTTCCGAAAATAGTTTCAGCACCTTTTTCCTCCAATTTACCTAAATGTTAATTCGTTTCTTTGTATAAGTATCGGTTTCAAAGCGAAAAAAGCAAAAACATTCGTAGCGTACATTCTATACGCAAAACCAAAGGTTCACGCGAATCTTTATAAATTATGGAAAAGACAATCGTGAGAGACTCTACTTAACATCAAATTTTTAACTACTGGGAAGTAAAATAATAACTACAACTGCGAAAAGCTACATGAAAAGTGAGCGAAGAATGTAGAACGACATTTTTCCATCTGAAATCTCGTTTCCGAGATAACCTAGAAACGAGCTCCCGACGGCCGCGCCGCGGCCCGCCATTTTGTAAAATAATCCGTAAGCGACGAGAACATCTCACCTTGCTATTTGGCGTGGTAGAATCCAAAGCATCGAAATGTTCCTGGAATTCATTAAGCGTCCCGTTCTCCATCTCAAACGGAGTCCTCGAGATCTGGGAAGAAATCAAATTCGATTCCATCCAATCGTCGAAGCTACAAACATTTCTAAACCTGGAGTTAATCGATTAACTTACCTTCGCCAATTTAATCGAGAATTGTACTAGATCATCCACACCTTTCTTGATCTTCTCTCGTGGAATATCTATCCCTCTAATCTTCGAAAGTACAGTCGCCACGCTCAATATATAACTTTTGTAGGTCTCAATCTGTTCCTCTTTGCTGGGTTCGTCATCCTCATCGCTATCCTCGTCATCCTCATCGTTATCCTCATCGTCTTCATCGCCATTCTCATCTCCATCATCGCTACCCTCATCTTCACCGTCAGTTTCGCCAGTTTCATTTTCACCGCCCTCGTCTTCTCCATTCTCTGCGCTAGAATCATCCTCGGTATTAACCTCGTTATCGCTGCTGTCTTCGGCATCCTCATCTTCCATCTTCCTCGCGACGTGATGAACTCTGTGGTGACTGATCCTTCGCTGCTTGTGTCCATGATGGCCGTTGATCGTCTTGCTTCCATCTACATGCTTCTGCAGACCTCTATCCCTCTTATTCCTTCTCTTACCGTTTTGTTGATGCTTGTTAATCCTCTTTCCTTTCTTATCTTCCTCCTTGTTCCTCTTTCCACTGCTGTGTCCAACGTGCTTCTTACTGTCCTCCGGTTTAACGCTTGCGTCCTTGTCGTTGCCTTTAGGTTTCACATCGTTCTTCCCAGCAGAGGTCCTGTGGCGACGGCCAACAGTTAGGTGTCCATGTCTCGATGATCTTCCACTTGTCCTCTTCGATTTCCCGTGAGCCACGTGCTTCGCGTTTCTCTTGAGGCTCCGTACCTTGCTGAACACTATATCCTGGATCAGGTCCCTCTTCGTTCTTCTCCTAGTCTTCTTTTCGTGCTTGTGCCTCCTGCTTACGCTGTGTTTGCTGCTGGTTCTCTTCTTATGGCCCAGGCTCTTGTGGTTCTTTCTTCTGGACACTCTTCTGTTTCGCAGTTCTTCCGCGTCGTTCTCTTCTTCTTCGTCTTCTTTGTCTTCCTCGATCCCCTCGTCTTCTTCTTCATCTTCATTAGAGTTCTTACGTTCCTTGCTGCCTTTCTCCTGGCTACCCTCCCCGCTCTCGTTGTTCTCGTCGCTGGCGTCGTACCCATCTTCTTCAGGTTCTTCGTCAGACATAATTTTGTACATCTGGTATGACAGGTGAGGCGTGTCCAGCTGGAACAATGGGATATAATGCGTATAAGGACAAACGAGGTGTTTTTAATAATAAGTGTTCGATTTGTCGGAATTTTCGGTGAAAAGGAAAGGTTGAACGGTATGATACTGAATAATGTAAGTTTCTTATCAAATTTCGAGTGAATTTAGTGCGAAGGTTGAATTGAAATTGATATTAGATAATGAATTTATAGCGATGTATAAAGGAAAGAAATAATTAACATGGATTATGATCATACAATTATCGTTCCGTTGTCCTCGTATGATACTTGGCCATAGATTAAATCATGGAAGGCATTTACCCCGTATAAACGGGCATAATGGTCGTCAACCGTTTGCCAGTTGTATATTCGATCATCCCATTCCCCATCCTCCATTATCAATGGCCAACCTCCGTGCCTCCATAAAGTAGATACTAGTGGTAGAAGCGATTGAATTTTTTGCGCCTCTATAAGACAAACAATTACATTATTGTTTAACACGTTAAGCTCCATGTCAGTCACCGATTACTGACGCTTCTGAGTTACTTGAAAACAATCGTAACATGCAAGATAACCGATGTCGAATGAAGATGTTTAATAACGTAACGACGTTGATAATAGTGCACTGCAAGGATTACAACGTCAAATAATTAATAATTGTCCCTGCTTTTCTTTGCTACAAAAGAAAAACGGCCACGATTTTCGTGACGCCTAATGCGTTAAATAATTACCTTAAATTACATGAATTGTTTTCTGTTATATAATATTTAGAACATCTAGGGAATTATGAAATCTAAAAATTCTCGTAGTTCTAGGCAATAAAACGAAGATGAAGTTAAATCGCGTCGAAGAATAAAAATGATACTAAGAAATTACAGAAAGTACTGAATATCGTTTAAATAATTACTACCATTGAATGAATTGATCAAATCTTTGCAAATACCTTCGTCCATGCAACTTATGTACCATTTTTTGGCCAGTTTCACAGCAAACATGTCGTCCGGTTGAATAGGTTCTCGAATAATCGCTGAAAAGTTTTAATACTATATAATTCCCACTGAGGGATATTTAAATTAAGATAAACTGTTCGTGCAGCTAACTGTCTAGTAATAATAGTAATTACAGTAGCAGTAACAAGGATTTAAACGTTACTAATATATTATCGAACAGAGCTGAACCCAAGCAATCGGAAACTAATATTTCATTAGAAGAACAATACAAACCTTTAACTTGGCTCTCAATTTTTTTTTCCACCATGTCCCACAAATTCGAAGAAGTCATGTTCTCAGAAAGCGGATTATTCTTGGTCCACTTCCCGCACGCGTAATCGTAAAAATCATCACAGGGATCCAAGGACTCATCCATACTTTCCTTAATTACTTTAGCTGTTTGAAGGAGAAAATTATTGTTTTCATTCGTGATGCTCAAAAAATGAACGATCTTTTAAAAGAGAAGTATAGTATTCTACATTCTGATTGTATTTCGTCGATCAGTAGATGATTACTTAAGAAAAATTGTTCTGAACTGAAAACTGGAAACTTCCTTTTCAATGAAACGAAAATTATGCAAATGCAACTTTTCCCTTTTCCCTTAAAAAGATATGAATATTACGGTAACATAACAGATGGCCATTAAATGATCCGAACGTATTAAAATCATAAGGAAATAGGAGAATGATTTATTCCTAGATCTAATGTCACTTACCGATCAGCTTGCACTCCTCGGTCTCGCATACCGATCGTTCCTTTTCTTTATTTCCAACGGAAGCTTCGCGCTTTACGCCGAACAAACTGTCCAATCCAAACGGATAATTCACGAAATAAGGTGAGGCGCTTATAACAGTGCCTATAGACACTCTGCAAGGAAAACATTACGAAATTACATGAAATAGTTATTCTATAATTAATTAAACACCGAAGCGCAGAAACCAGTAACACGAAGAAAGTAGAATTGCGAGAAAAACGAGTTCTAACAACGTATAGCGGTCTATTATCATTAAATCTGTCCAATTAATCGTTTCGAATCTTAACTAAAAAATGACTAACTGAGTTGTTTACTTACAAGATCAGAATCCGAATCATTTTTGTAATTTAACGTAGGCCAATATTCGCGAAAACAAAGCTGGCTCGCCGAAGGGACAGCCAGTCCTCCGTTTTGCGAAATGCGCCGAGAAAATTTTCTGTGTCTGTTTTATATTCACGGAAAAGGGGTGGGAAGGAGTGATAGTCTTAACAATCTACCCTGATAGTGCAAGCGCGTCGAGTTAGACAGAAAAAGTGCATCCTCTGCCCTTGGAATCTTACGGATAATTTATTCCGGTATCTCTATTTACGTCCATTCGTTATTGAAATTCTATTTCCTTCCGCTTTGATAGAAGTGATTATGTTCATTAACTAGGCTTCAATGGAATGATAGCGTACGCGCGTATTATCAAGTCGGCTTTGGCAAAACATTCTGTTTTCATGTATAAACAATCATAGATTCGACGATGTTGAAATATTTTCATTCAAGAGAGAGAAGAGTTTCAGACGTGATTAATCATTTATTTATTAGTTGAAATATTATTCCTTAAAGCGAATGTGAACTTCTCTTTCTTATGGAACATCTGGAGCACGATTAAGGATATCGATTTTTTTATTTTAAGGATTTATAGAGAAATACACCTTGGTCAGGTGTGTTTATATGTATAAATGATTGAGCTGTTACATTTTTGTAATTAAAATACGTTTGTGGTTTTAAGAAGTAACGTTTAAATTATTATTTATGTACATTGTAGTTGTTTAAATTGAATAGTACATACCTGCAATTACATTATCGAGCATAAGAATATTTAAATTGCAGTATAATAATGTAATATTGTTATTGGGGTAGTTAAAGAAAATTCGTTTAAACTGAATTTATTAATGATACATTTAATATAAACGAAAAAGTATGTATAATATACATTTTATTATAAAAATAATCTAAATATATTCATAACAGGTTAATCATTGCAATTATGAAATATATTAACGGTTAAGCTCTATTATTATAATTTATTTTACTATCTTCTAAATTTCTCAAATACAGTTTAGTAAAGGAGAACCTTAAATACAAATTAAAAAATACACCTTCAGAACAGATGTACTGACACCATAGTTCATAAACAATAATGAAAAATATAGAGAATTGTTTGACGTACGAAAAACATAGCACTGTGGTCGAAATACATGAACAATAAACATTTAGACAATATTCTTTATTAATTCAATACAAAACAGAAACGAAAGGAACTTAAGTAAATACTAAATTAAGAAAATTTCAATTATACAGTATATTTACGATCTACATCTATTTCTTCACAAGCATACATGAATCGATCGCAGAGAAGAAATACATGTACAAATTGCATTTTATCAATACATCATCATCAAACGTTGAACATTAGAAACATCAGAAACTACTAATAGCGAATACAGCATTGTTATTTCCATATGTTACACTTCTTTTTCGGATTCATAAAGCTCCCTTCCGGGCAATTGTACGCTTTGGCGAAGTCTTCGGAGTTAGACAGAGAGCCGATTACTCTTAATGGGCCCGGGCTATGAGGGTCATGCTTTAATCGGCCCTTCAATTTTTCCATATCGTAAGTTGTACACCACACCTATAAATTCAAACAAATTATATCCTAACATTTCCATCTTCTTATATGAATAGGAGTTAGATGTACAGATAGCAATACACGTACATTGGCAGCGGATAAGAAGAACATTTGATTGTTAGTGAAGTTCTGTAAACCAGGTAACATTGGGTCTGGCACTTTGCATTTCCTTAGCCTCCGTTGGTAAGCGCCGAACACAGCTTGCAAGCCCATTGTATCGGCTATGTTTTCACCGGACGTTTGAGAGCCATAATCCTGTAATCATGTGGCAGTAAATTGTAATGAACAATGGCGGCTGTGGAACTGCAGCATCCCTAATTTCCACTTGATATTATCGACAACATTTAACACAAGTCCTTTTTTCTTTCATTCTTTTTTTGTGCTTGTAGAATATATAATCCTTAAGCTTAATGTCAGTAGCCATTCCCTAGTTTATGGAGATGATACAAACATTTTAAAACAAAGGCCAAAAATTTTCTGGAGCAGTACTCCCAGTAACTTTAGCTATAAGCTGCCACTGACTCTCAACAAAGTTTTGTAATTTAATGAGAATTGTAATAATTTCATATAAATTGAATTAAATGTAAAGGAAAATATGTAAAAGCCCTAAATAAAATAAACAATTTTATAACATCTAATTGCATTCCCACTGTTTTTATAAATTGTTTTAATTAAGAGTATATAATTTTCTGTGCGACACTCTGTAAATGGCGATGATATAGTAATTATATATAAACGTTCCAAGATATTTAAACCTTCCATATAGTCTTTGTGAAAGTTTATTATAAGAAACCAATTGAAAATTTTACCTCTATTTGAATATTTGCTGTTCTATTTTGTTCCACGCTGTATTTGGTGTACTGCTCTCTAAAGCAATCCGCTCGGTCCTCGTATGCTTCTGCCATGGCAGACAACCACTCAGCAAATTCGCCGTGCTTATCAAACATACGACCTAAGAACGACCAATTATCGATAAATATTTATTTCAACCAATTATCGATAAATATTTATTTCAGTCTAAATACTGTTCGTATTTCAAGTTATTCACCGCTATCATCGAACCCGTGATTTACTTCGTGCGCCATTATGAATCCCAGGATACCAAAATTGGTGTACCTGTGCAGTAACAATGTTACTTTGGTTGAACTAAGTGCGTTAATCTACGCAACTAGATTAACAGGACACAGTGCTTACCATGGCTGATTTGGACCGTACATGGGACTTTGAAAATCAGCCGCTGTTATTTCTGTAAAAGGTTTATTATATTTGGTACCTCTATAAATTCTTGTATAACATTTTTTATTCATTTATTTACTTATTCGAATAGGGAAATCTACAGAATAGAAATAAAGATAATGGTTTTTTCATTGTTGTTAAGGATTCTTGAATTCAAAAGAGAAAAAAGGAATTGAAAAATCAACGTGCAACGTAAAACTTACCAAAAAGATTAAGACCAGGAATATAAAAGGCATTGACAACCAATGGATCTATAAAAGCTCTGTAAATAAAGGTTCACGTGGATCATAAAACAAGCACAATTTCAAAATGTTGATCGTTGTTAAAAAGTAGGTAATTTTTAAGTGGCTTACTCATTAGAGACATCCATTGTAGTGTTGAGGCTCCTCAGGTTGTCCCGTTTCTTGTATCTCATCACACCCAGCATATTCTCGTAATGGGACTTGCTGATGCTGAGCTGGAAGAATCTCTCAGAATTAACAAATTGGAACTTTCATGTGCAAAAACGAGAACTATATATATATATCAGAAATAAAATCTTCAAAAATCTAATATTAAATAATCCGTTAACATACGTAATTAAAAATTACGTTTCGTGAAAATTATTTTTAATGTTTCTAATTAACAAGTTTAAAAAGTGACTACGAGCAATAACTTTATTTTTCATCGAACGTTAAAAACGAAACTGTAAAAACATTAAGAACCGAATAGAAACGTCTATTCAATGTGTTCTCGTGAACAGATTCATAAATGAAACACTTACTCCTCTGAAATGATTCTGCATGATTGTGGCATTTCGATACTGAGGCGGATAACCGATTAACGCTTTCATGTACACCAATTTGTCTAATATATATTCTTTGGTGGCATCGTCCATCCATGTTGATTCCTCCACCCGGTATTCGACCTCCTTTTGGATATCACTGATCATGTCCAATGCCTTGAATAAACGAGAACGTATCGCTTTCAGATCTCACGATTCTTTCGTTTTTTGAATAAGCAGATAATTCATAAACAAGTCATTATTATGATAATCGATGTCTTTGGTTAAATATATAATTAATACCGCTTGCAGCCACTTGTCGGAGAAATATCGTTTCACGTATTCGTATCCTAAACAGTATTTCGCCTCTAAGTCCTCGATGCATTGCATGGATCTATGAAAGAGCGATCAAATTAAAAGAAGGCAATCAAATAACAGATTAGTTCTCAGAGGTCGTTGTGTCGTAAAAAATACCGTGATACAGATAACGTTACCTCTTCTCGGAGCGTTCCTCGTTCGTATACCAATTATAATAAAAGTCTCTCATCTCCTGCGTGGTACCTTTTATCGCTCTGTTGATGAAGTTCCAATGAATGTAATTCACTGCGTAAAATTATCGAAATATTTATTAGCAATTCCTCCCTTGTATACGAACATGCGTGTGTCATTTGCATACCGATAATTCTGCTCGGTGTATTATCCAGTAACTGGCGGAGTCCTTTCATATATCTACGAGATATAGTTAGGATCCTCGTATCATTATCCACGCTTAATCCCGCCGTTGTGAACAGACTCTGTAGCTTGTTCAACCAATTTATCTACAAACATTTGTTTATCTTGTAACATGTGAAATAACATCGATTTCTCGACTTAGTATATCACCGACAAACGGTAATACGATGACACGATAAAATGGTAAGAATTTTAGTAAGCGAACATTTCCAATTGCCAATTAATATTATTTCGTAGTTATTTATCGTTATCAACAATCTCTTTTTTAACAGTTTCCCAATATCTTTCGGACACTTAGAACTCGTCTTCAGAATTTTCCCCGAAATCAGCTAGAAAACAAATGTTCGAAGCATACTTACTTTGCCATTATTCGTGACTGGTTTCAAGTCATCGTATCTCGCTTGAAATTCTGCAACTGTAAGGTTTCCCTGCTCATGGTCCGTATATATGAGCTGAAAAAATTACAATCGATATACAGGGCGTTCTGTTTATTGTCAAAATGAACGACGAATATATATTTTCGAATGTATTTCTAGTAGTATAAATGTTTAATGAAGAATATCTAATATCTTCCTTTCAGAATAAATAGTTAGTTACCATAATTAATAAAACGGTTAGAATTAATGAACGATTCACATTACCCTTATAAGACTTAACTGGAACTCCAGCAAATCGTCAATATTATTCCTTATTTTCTCCTCAGAAATTTCGACTCCTCTGGCTTCAACAAGCGCCATAGTGACGTTCAGCATAAATTTTTTATATTGACTCCTCAGTTCTTCTATTCTTTTCCTTTCTTTTTCATCCCTATCATCATAGTCACTGTCTTCGTCGTCCGATCCGTCGCCGCTGCCATTGCCACTGCCCCAATCGTCTTCATCATTGGAATCATTTCTATCCTCTCCGCCCTCTTCATCGTTAGAATCCTCGCTATCGTTCTCGTTCTCGTTTTCATCGGAATCTTCGTCTTCGGTGACAGGATTATCAAAATATATGTCATCGTTCGTTCTTCCGTTCTTTCCATTTCTCCGCGAGTCATGGTTTTTCAAACGAGTTTTACCACTGATATGTACGGACACTTTTTTATTGTGCGATAATTTGTCAGCTCTCTTATCATGCCGAATTCCTTGATCATTGACCTTGGTCCATTCATGGTGTTTCCTGTCTTTCGACCGAATCGCTGCTCTCTTCGTTCTCTTCGTCCTCTTTTCGGCGTGTGTCTCCGACAATTTCCTTTTACCGCTCTTCCTTCTGTTGACAGCTAATTTTTTGTTAATCCTACTAACTAATTTCTTCTCCTGCGAATCTTCATCTTCTCCTTCGTTTTCCTCGCTGTTGTCGTCCTTTCTGCCCCTCTCTTCGCTGCCTCGTTCTTCGCTTCCTCCTCCGCTGTCATTATTTTCGTCGCTGCTGTCCCAATCAATTTCCCTGCTGCTGACAAGCAAGTACGATTTATACGGTATATGGGGTGTATTAACCTGTAACAGCAATGAATTTGGTGCTAGAACCTTTACGGTATTTCATTAATAGTAACCAGCCTCTTCCATTCATGAATTGATGTACTGAATTAATATGGATACTTTGAAATAATCGATAACTGTATTGAGAAATTGTTCAACGAACGACAGGAAGTAAGAAATTAATTAGATAAAATTCATGGAGAAAACGACAAGTAACCGATTCCTAAATCTTCGGAGTGTCAATTAGTTTGAGACATTTGTTGAATGTACAATAAATGATGCACAAGTATAATCACCACCAAGAATTTTTCTTCTCCTTCAGTTTCCGAATCCCACGGCGCGCTAACTTGCACGTCGTGTAAGGCATTCAGACCAGTCAAATGAGCGTAATAATCATCGACGTATTGCCATTTATACAATTCCTCGTCCCATTCATCGTCATCCATTATTAATGGCCAACCACCGATTCTCCATAATGAAGATATAAGTGGTTGAACTCCTCTTCTTTCCAACTCGTCTATCATTCGATCAAATGACACAGTGTATTGCATTTATAGGCGATTAAAGAATTAAATAGAAAAGGAATGGAACGAAAAATTGAATTGGAAATGTCACCTGTATCCATGCATGCATTGTAAGCTCTTCTGGATAGTTTCAAACCCAGAACGTCGTCAGACTTTGACTTCTCTTGTATTATATCTGTAAATATAACATTATTAATGAATATGTCGTACTTCGTAGCAATAAATCTATATTGTTGGCTTAGAAGAAACTGTACGCGTAAAGATAAATTAAAGTTACAGATTAACATGATGCAAAGTATGTGAAAATTAATGAAACCGTCGAGTCTATCGTTTGGTACACTCTTGAACATGCCGACTTATTATTAGTAAGCGTGTCTGCCCATCGCTCATGATTTCTACTTACGTCGGCAATGATGCGATATTATTTAACTCCCATAAGTTTTCGTGTCTTCTAATAATCTAATAATACAATAATTCGTCGATGAACTTCGGAAATATTCACAGATACTGCAATGAAATTTCTTAGAACGAAACTTCTTACAAATATCGTTCCGCAATTAATGAGAATGCAGGAATCACTTTCTTCTTAATTATGATACTTTTTAACTGTGATTCACTGTCATTTTCGGAGCGTATTTCACAGTAATGATTCGAAATAGAATTAACAAACCCAGAAGACGCTGGTTCACCAATTCTCTCGCTCTCATCATAGGGCTCCAACTCGGTAAACCTTCAGGAAGAGGATTGTGCTTTTCCCAATTCCCACACGCATACTCGTAGAAATTATCGCACGGATCCACGCTGGTGTCCATGTTCTCTGTCACTATCTTCGCTGTTGGAAATAAAGGAGCAGCGCAAGTGAAAATATTTTAAAGCTACGTACGAGTGAGAATAATCTTTTGACGCGCAACATTAGAATAGAGACACAGTGAACACATCATAACCGAGATGTACGAAAATAATTCGTGATTTCAATGACTCAGAGAAATCGGAGAAACAATGTTAATGCGCTTACCAAGTGCAACACATTCTGGGGTTTCACAAAGTGAACGTTCTTCTTTCGATTGTTGGATACCTGGTTCACTGTCCCTATCGAACAACCATCCTAAATTCAGAGGATAGTCTCTGATACTAGCATCAGCAACGATGCCGGTAAATATCCTGCAAAAATAATCGATAATTCATTAATCGCGAATATTGATGTGTTAGGTACCGAGGAAAGTTCGTACCGGTCTTTAAATCAAAATTTAAACGGAGCGAATGTTTTTGTAAAATGATTTTATTTGACTTGATACCAACGACATAGACACAACTTGCTGCTAATAACAATGTCATTCACTGAACTAGTGAAATACTGATTGAAATCGAACATAGATTCATTACTAACACGAGAACACATTCGCGCCGGCATGTGCATAGTATACGGTGGTACATAGCTAATTTATAACATATAAAATAAATCAACGTTAACACGCGATTTATAAACTAAAGCCAGGAAACTAGAGACGTAACAAAAAAATTCACTTCAACGTTGTTTTTTTTTCATATGATATAGAAACACGTCTCGGCGTGAATGTATTAAACGATAAATCGAAAGATCCCGTTGTCTTCGGTGACTTCTTGAAAATTTCACTTACAGAATCCATACCGTTCGTGTCATTTTAACGACACGTAACCTTTGAAGCCAGGTTGCAAATAGAGCGAACAGTCTTCTCGCGTGTAAAGTGCAGAATATATCACAGCTAGTAGTGATTTTGTATTTATAGAAAACGGAAGGACCCTGACGCTGCTGATAATGCTCAATTTGTATCAATACTTATGCAGTAAATGCTTCCTCTTTTTCCGTGTAAATTTAAGTACTCTGATGCTGTTGATATTGGCATTCCTGGCGACATTTTTGTGAATTTTATCAATTCCTTCGATTATTCGTCTTAACACATTGCGTACCGGGTAATTTTCAGAAAATTGTAACGATGTCAATTTTCAGTGAGATCAACTTATATTAGTATATACATGAACAACTCAGATATCGTATTGTCATGTAATATATTTCAAATAGATAATCAATTCGAGTCAAATTGAATATTTATCTAATGCTGCGGTAATTAGCAAAGTTAAAAAGCTAGTGTCTTTATAGAAAAACGAGATTTCTCGTTGCCAGAAATCGATGTGTTACAACTAATAAAGGGAAATTTATTGACGAAATCAAATTTGATAATTTAAGAAACTCATGTAGACGTATTTATAAATGAATCAGATTTGTACCTGTATATTATTTGTTTTTGTATCGTGTTCAATAATCGTGAAGCATTCATTTAAAAATGAATATTAGCAATCGCAGAAGAATCGGAAAGTCTACTTAATGAAGTGCTTTAGTAAATGTAAGTTGTATCAACGCGGAACTGAAACAGTTATCAATGTACGCTGATGTTATAGCTTTCGTGGTCATTGCGTATCACTTGGTACAGCATAATTAATTATCTCGGCGAAGTAATAGTAGGAGGGATAAAAATGTTCTACAAGATTTATTTATAATGTATTTTTTATTTCATAAAAATACAGGCATATGAATAACGTGAAATATACAACGTATGTTAAATCATTCAAGACAGGTTACAAATCACAAATATTTCACCTACAAATCTTCGTAAGATTGATAATCATAATTCTTAATCATAATGATTAGTAAGGAACTCCGATCCCTAAATTACACGATAAAAATGGGAAACAAACAAAAATATAAGTCATTCAGTTACACAATCTTCTAATTTTTAAAAATATTGTAACTACTCACAAAGCATAAATATAATGTAGAGCAATCAAGTGAGAAATGTTTTATCGCTGAACAATAATTCATAAACAATTAACGTAATCACAATTACAATTTCCAATTTTTATTCCGATTAATTATCTTTAAAAAGGTAATCGAAATTTACTCAAAAATTAAATCCAGTGTCCTAATGCTTTTAATCTCTATTTAAATGCTTTCCAAAGAAAACACGACCATCTCCCTCGAAATTACCCTAACACACAATATGCAAAAACCAATAGAAGAAAAATACATGGACTTTTGAACCGATTAAATCGAAGGAAAGGTGTAATCGAATCGCTCGGACTCGCATCGGTATCCGGATGCGCTGCATAGATCACGGAACGGAGAAACGGTAGCATCAGGTCGCTGGATGCGCTAACATTCGAACGTAAGGACTGCGCAATCTAATTTTTCACCGGAGCCAGAATATCCCGAGCAAGCCGGCACCGGGGATACAGTCTCCAATCTGAAAATATATTGCAGAAATATACCATGTTAACAACGTTGCCGCGCAGACAACGGCAGAATGTGTCGGCGACTAGATATCCGTGACAGGAGAGAGTAAATCTGTAGCGGTAGCTGACTGCTCCTCGTTCGCGGATCACTTCGACGCTGACACGGATAAGTGAAATGAAATTCATCGATTCGGAGACGAGACAACCCGAGTTTTCATCAGAAAGTTACGCAGAAGTTGGACGTCCATCGTTCACCCTGCGCTGGCAATATGATTTTTCACCAGTCGGATCGGCAATATGGACCTTTTATAGTCTGGCTCAGGATTTGGATTTTTCATCGTTGTGAGTTTCGTAAAAATTTGAACATACTCTGAGATACTTCGAATAGTCTATAATCTAACTTACAAATGACACTTTAGAGAAATCTTTCTATCAGTTCGCAATGAAAATTAGAAATCGTGAAGTCGCCAAGAAATGAGATTTCCGGCTAGCCCTTTAACGGCCATATTGTCGGCCCAGGCTTAACACTTTTGCGGACGGCCTGAATTTATATAGGATGTCGATATGAACGCTGTTTAGAAACTTAAGTTTTTTTAGGTGAATTTTATTACGTGAATTTTCTATTGTTATTAACAATTGAAAGACAGCAGACGGATTCTTGTATGTACGATGAATACTAGCAGTAGTAGGTGCCATAAGTGTGTCAGTAAAATGCTATTAAGTTTTATTTAAGCAATCGGCTCGCGAATTAAGTAAAGAAATTATAAAATTATCTAGAATTTCTGTATTATTTCGGCGTAATGAAACCTCTTTAGAAAAAAATAACTTTCCACGTGATGTGCTTTCAGATATTCGTTTTGAAAATCTGGAAATTGCATAAATAACAGCTGACCACTTACGGCCTCAGCCCAGTAATAATAATTATTTTATTATCAAGTTTTCACAGAGAGCAATATTTTCTTGTGCAGCCATAAACAGATTAACGTGTTCAATGTAACATTCCCTCCGTGACGATGTGAACGTAAAAGCGGTTGATCGCGATGAGTGAGAGTGAGTAAAAGGATCGTAATCTGCGATCGTCATCCCAGAAGTGAAGCACGTGTGAGAATGAAAGTCCTTGTGGGAAACGGTATGCGTGAAACGAAGAATCGAAAGGTTTTATTAAAAGCCGATTCCGAGTATCTTGTAACTTGAATTCCGCCTGTGAAGATGGCAAACGCGGAATGACGAAATGGATGCATAATTTCATTTCAAAACACTTAATTAAGACCACTCGATTTTAAGAAGTGAGCATTGTACTAAATATCAAAAAATTGAAACATCAAATTATAATAACCAAAGGAGTGTAATAAAAATATAATAATAAAATATTATGCTATATTGTGTTGTATTGTATTACCTAGATCATTAATCAGTTAATTAATTAATCAAAAAGTTGAAATATCAAATTATAACAATCAAAGAAGTGTAATAAAAATATAATAATAAAATATTATGCTACATTGTGTTATATTATATTAACTAGATCATTAATACTATTTGACATTTACCATAAATTTTATTTAAGAATATGTATAAAAAAGGGAAACATGGAATAAAGTAATTTCAAATAAACCGCCAATATCCTTCTACTTGACACACGTGTTTCTTCAACGAAAGATTATTTTCTTAACAGTGTATGTAATGTTATGAGAATTAACTAAATAATGATTAATTGATTACAAAATTAATATATTCTCTAATATTTGTAATATTATCTTCGAAAGTATACCGTACTTTTCGAAAGTTTAAGGAAGAAAATATAGATTCACCGGTAAGGTTATGAACTTGTTGTGTTCATGTAATTTCGCAATTCTTAATGATAATTCTTATCACTCGTTGTGTATATGTATTTTAACTTGTATTACAGAAGATTCAATAATCTTAAACGATTTTAGTATTATGTACAAATTTAAAATACCTCATTAAATAAATACAAAACATATAGTAATGCGTACGTTATATAACTAATTTACACTTAGAATATCAATTTACATTTAGAATTACATTATATATAATTACAGAATAATGATATATTCATTTATTTTTTAACAGAGAAAATCATTCAAGCAAGGAAAAAACCTAAACTATGTCGATGTTAACGCGCATGCGCTTCGTAAATGGTAGGGGGATCCTTCGAGAGAAAATATTCCACAATTTCAGCCAAAGAGAAAACTTTACTCCTGGTGTGACAAGACACAAAATGGTACGCTTTTCATAGTTAATTTACAAACCGCATGTGTTAAAAATAATTTATTATTTTAAAAATAGAATATTCAACAAGAAAATTCAATTCAACGAGAAGTTGATGTAAAAAAGTAATTTTAAAAAAATTTGTTTAATGTCAAATACTTTTATTTTTAATTTATTATCACCGCGGTTCGTGATATTACTTTATGCGTTTTTATTCCTTAAAAGTTAATAAATGTAAACAAATATTTCATAAAATGTATGTGTACTATTTCGTATTGTTTGGGTGTAACAAGTGGTCGAGATTTTAAATTACTTATTATATAAATTATACTTTTCTAATTATCTAGAAAGAATCAAAGTCATGCCAAAATAATAATAAATTTCATTAAGACATTAATTAAAAAATTTAAACAATTAATATTAATGAAATAGCCTTAATATTCGCATATCATATGTTACACGCTAAAAAACGATTAAAGTATTTCCTGATCGTATTGATCGGATTTTCCTGTCACTGATCCCTGATTGGATTTTTCCATTTTTTTTTCTTTTAATTCTTTTTATTTTTTAGAACACGCTAAATTCTTGCAACAATTAATTAAATAAACTAATTTCTTTTAATCTTAACATTTAATTTTTTAATAATCTGTCCTTTCTTAGGAAAAGCTAACTGAAGAAGAAAGAGAAAAAACCTTAAAGCCATTATTAACCAATGGATGGTCTGTTCAACAAAATAGAGATGCAATCTACAAGGAGTTTTTATTTAAAGATTTTAATGAGGTTTGTCTTAAAACATTAATATTACATTGGATATTACTTGTACTGGTTGTTGTTATTAAAAATATATTTATTTGTTCAATTACATTGATAGGCATTTGGATTTATGAGTAGAGTGGCACTGCAAGCAGAAAAAATGTGTCATCATCCAGAATGGTTCAATGTTTACAATAAGGTGAACATTACTCTTGCTACCCATGATGTAAATGGCTTATCAAAGAAGGATGTTAAATTGGCCACTTTCATAGACAATGTTGCTAAATTGAATGTAAATTAAAACTTAAACTATGCATTAATTCATGGTTACAAAGTTCCAGATTATGTATCTATTAACAATCTGTCTATTAAATATTTTATAGATGTCAACAATATCTATATAATGAATATTATTATTTCTGTTGCAATAATATTCTATTTAATAATAGAGTACACCATTTAAAGGTATATAATTTATTTTTGTATACTTTACAAGATATTAAATTATGATATCCTACATTAGCCTAATAAAGCAGACAATAAAAATTACTTTGGCTTTTATTTTGAAGACTTTTCTTTACCAATTGCCCAGAAATTCTTGACTGATGTTGCAACACCAGGACCATTATGTATAAGTACAAATAAACCAGCTAGAGTAGCTACAGAAAGCAAAATCAAAGTAGCATGTAAAACCTTTGGTAACAGTGGCCCAACAACTCTAGGACGTGCATAATCTGTGATAACAGCTTCCAAACCCCTATTTAAAAATAGATATTACAATAAATTAGAAATATATAGTAGCTATTATATAATATATGATAGTACGTATTAATATTCAAACCTGTTTATAAACTACTTATAAAACAAAATTATTTAATATTGTATAGTAATGTAGTGATTGTATAATGTATTATTTACCAATGAGTGTGTATTACAACTAAAACAGACATAATCCCATCAAGAACTGCATTTTCCATCACAAAAGCAAGAGGAATTACAACGGGAAGTGCCACAGATACAACTTTTTCGAAAACCCATAATCGTACATGATCACCTGCAGGTGTTGCTACATTACGACTTTGTTGTAAACCAATGCTTGCTGGGAACTATACATAAAATTAATATTAATTTTCAAATTATATATAATCTGTAAAGACATCTATAAATCATGTTCAATTATACTTATATATTAAAAATTAAATCTATTTAAAACAATATTATAAAAGTTATTACCTTTGTTAGAAAATTATTATTTCCATTTGTTATTGTATTAGAATTTAAACATCGATTAATACCGCATAAAGTTGTTGACGTTCTAGCAATCTGAGGAGGTTTGGAAGAGTTTGAAAATATATTTGTTTTTGAAAAAGATTCTGGAAACATAAACATACATAGCATTTAAGTATACTTTTTATTAAAAAAGAAACAATTAAAGTATTCTAGACATCTTCAGAATTTTCAAAATATGATAGTAACTACAATTAATATTATAAGTACATACTACTATTTTCTTTCAAAAAGTTATGATGACTATCTCAAAGTAAGTTAAAGCAAATAATATTATACAAAGTAAAAGAAAAGATATGAAATGACTTTGTCGAAAATATTATATTTATATACTCATAGACTATGTCAAATAAGATTATGTAAACGAAAAGAAGTGTTTTCTTAAATTACAGATGCGCTTACCTAATTGTCTGATCTTACGAAAAATGTTTCTATTAATCATCCTCTCGAAATTCATGTTGGTAATTATTAAATGTAAAATTTGTTAAACACGAACTCTCTTTTACAAGAGGTCAACGAAATTCTTGTTAGTTTTCGTGACAGCAAATTTTTACAATTATAGTTACATATAGGTAAAAATGCGATTGCAGATGGATGTTTTCAGGTATCGACTGTATTAGATTGGACTTAAATCGATCATTTTCGATTTATCGAATTTGTTCAATTTTATATGATACAAAACATATAATATTCGACAATAAAAAACTCACGATGATCATTCACCGTGTAAGTGCAGAATATTTCAAATCCTATAGCGAAAATATAGGCTAACCTCAGAAAAGATCTTGACGTCTCTAGACTACGCAAAGTACACCCTGCCATTACCCAATGAACGCCAGTCTGAATTGCAAAATTTAAGTTTCTAGATAGAAAATCAAATTGATATTAAAGTTCATAATTGAAAAACAAAAAATATGTATATATGCAAAAAATAATATATTAATAAGTGTTAATGTTTTATATCAATATAATAAGTTTATTGTACTATATTTAATTTTATAAGCTTTTATTTATTGAATTAAATACTAATTTAATTTTACTAAATAGTATGTTATTTTCAAATATTTAATTGAATAATCTGATATTTAATACATAAAATTTAACTTTAAAAGTTGTTCTTGTTTGAGAAACACTGCTTGAAAACACGTGTATCCATCGGGTTAAAAAGCTATTCAGGATAGTTCGTGTTTGGAAACGGTAATCGTAATAAAATTGTGCCGGTTACATTCGATATTTCAGAACGTAAAGCAATAAATATTTAAAAAATGTAAACAAAACATCATTCCTCATAGCTAATAACATATTTTGTAAATTTAAATAAATATTCGTGAATATTCGTTAATTAGCGAATAAACAACAATGTCCCACTTAGAAAATAAAAATGTTGATTTAAAAGACGGTACACGTAATAAAGACGAAAAAGGGTTCAGAAAAGATAGCCGTTTTAATAAAAACTTCAGAAGAAATCGGGATTCATATTATGGTAGTAAAACTTGAAAACAAAATTATTTAAAATATTTCATCCGTGAAAATATTTTTGATTCTAATTTTTATGTTTTTTTAAGGGCATCAAAAAGATAGTTTTAGTAGAAAACCATTCAAACGGAACTGGTCGAACACTCAAAATGATGGGAAGAGGAAAAAATTAGAAGTAGGAAGTCGACTAAAAGAACATGATGTTGGTATTACAGAATTCATAGGAAATGAAGGATTTTTTGGTCTAATCAAAGAAAGATACACAGATTTTCATGTCAACGAAATTGCTCTTGATGGACAAATAGCTAAATTGACTAACCAAGATATGCCGGAAGATCCAAGAGAAAGTGAAAATTTAGAAGACTTAAAGGACACAATATCGGATACAATATGGAATCAATTACAAACATTAAAAGAACCAGAAGCTTCTACTATAGAGATAGATGTAACAAACATAGATAAAGATCAACGCAGAGCAATTCATACAATTGCTAAACAAATAACAAATGTTATTAGTCAAACCATAGACAAAGAAAATAAGAAGATAATGGTAATTTTACCAGATAAAAATGATAATAGCAATAGTATGTTTTAATTATTATTAATATTTTTTATTCATTTATACATTTACTTTAATGTGCTACTTTCTTTTACTAGATCATATTTTACGAAAAGACAATCGTATAAACTGGAAGAAATGTGGCGAATACTGTTACTTTGTATTGCACAAAGTGAACATGGATACAATGGATGCTTTAAATCAATTAGCTATGAATTTACGTATAAAACCAAATAATTTCAATTATGCAGGAACAAAAGATCGTAGAGCATGGACTTCTCAGTGGGTTAGTTTGAGAAAAATGGAACCATCACATGTATTGAGAGCAGCAAAAAATGTACGAGGAGCATATGTGGGCAACTTTAAATTTATGAAAGATTCTTTAAAACTAGGTATGCTCAATGGCAATCACTTTAGAATTGCTTTAAGAAATGTAAATGGAACAGATGAACAGATTGAAAAAACAATGGTTTCTTTGAAGAAGAATGGTTTTATTAATTATTATGGTTTACAAAGATTTGGTTCTGTTGTTAGTATTCCAACTTATGAAATAGGAAAAACATTACTTCAAGGTAATTCTTTCTAAATACTTCAAGTATTATTTTATTTTATTATTATTAAGAAATTTGTTATTTCTTATTTTTTGTTTATAAAAAATAGGTAAGTGGAATGAAGCAATTGAACTGATTTTGAAACCTAGGGAGGGAGAACAAGATAAAGATTTAGCAGAAGCTAGAAAGATATATGCAACCACCAAAGATGCAGTTGCTGCTTACAAGAAGATTAAGAGATATGATAAAATTGAAGCTACACTATTGAAAGGCCTATGTATATCTGGAAATAATAATCCTCAAGGAGCTTTAGATGCAATACCAAGGAATGCTCGCTTAATGTATATTCATGCATATCAAAGTTTTGTATGGAATCATATGGTATCAAGACGAATAAAAGAATTCGGAAAAGCACCTGTAATAGGAGATTTAGTATACGAAAATGATAATAAACAAAATGATAATGATAGCGAAGAACTCGTTTATGATAATGAGAATGTAGTTCAAACTGAAGATAAGATGGAATCTGATGAGAAATGTGAAACTATGGATGTGCCCAAAGAAGAAATTACCGAAACATCTACAGAAGCAACACATAATTCAATTAAAGAAGTAACAGATGCTACAGAGTGTTGTTTAAAAATAAACGAAAAAATTGAAGGAAATAGTAATGTCGGCGAGAAAGATGAAGATGAAGACTTGCGCAAACTTCCAGCAGTAAAGGTTCTTAAAGAAAAAGATTTACCTAACTATACTCTGGCAGATATATTAATGCCTCAGGTTGGATGGAAAGTCACGTATCCATCTTATGCTAAAACCTGGTATGATGAATTCTTAGCCAACCATGGATTAACTACTGACCTCAGACAAAAAAATAAGTATGCTATAGAAAAACTGTTTGCACATGCCATCTGAAGCTGTTGTAGTAGGTTTTTAACTTTGTTTACTTTATTCTAGGAAATATAGTTTAGGTGGTGTTTATAGAAAAATATTGCAAGTTCCTACAAATTTGTCTTGGAAGACTATGCACTATAAAGAAAGACACAGTGATCTTATTATGTGTGACATTGATGAAATGAGAAAATTATCAGCTCCAAAAGATGAACCAGGTATATTTTTTTTACAATTAATAGCGTAAAAATATATGTTAGATTCTTTACAATCTGAGGAAAAAGTAAACAAGATGTAACAACTTTTTATTTGTAGAAGGGCAGTATAAAGCTTTAATTGTTGAAATGTCTTTAAAATCATCTACATACGCAACAATGGCATTGCGAGAAATTCTAAAACTCGATACATCCCCGCAAGCACAGGCAGCACAATCTGCTGCTTGCAATGCCGAGTTAGAAAATGATGACGTTTCAATAGCAGTACAACATCAAAGTTTATGTTCTGTATCAGATAATGATAAGGATATGCATGGAGACAAAAATTTGAAAATGGAAGAAAAAGAATTAAGTGATTCTGACATTAAAAAAACTGAGTAAAATGATGAAATAGATATGTCTGGTGCAATATATAAATTATAATATATTGCTAAAATATTTAAAAATTTAATACTTGTTAAGTTTTTTGCATAAAAAAATAAAAAATCCAACAAATTAAAATAATTTAAGACGCATTAAATTATGTTCAATATTAATACATGTGTTATTTCATACAGATTAAACGTACGTTTTCTGTAAATGTTTAGTATGTTGTGTAAGTTGTTGGATACAACTTGATAATGTTAAACTTAATAAAACATAAATAACTCATATATTATTTATTTATGGATAACTCGCAAAATAAAATATAATCATAGAATAATACAATCTCAGAAAATGTTCTTATTTCAGTGACGCTATCGTTCCGCCATAGGCAGAACACGTAACGGAAGAATACCATGCTTATTAAATACCGGAAAATAAAAATTCCTATTCACATTATTAAATTAAAAAATATGAAAATATGAAAATAATAATTTTATCATATTTTTCAGTACTATTTCATTTTAGCATGCAATGCAGTTAAATACTCTTCGTTATATGGTAGAAGAACCCTGAAAGGAATGTGGATCTAATTGGTTAGTTTTCATCTTTCTTCATCTTATGTTTAATACTAATTTACTATTTGTCAATACGATTACATGTAACCAATCAAAACTATAAACAAAACACATAGCGGGAAACCCCTCTTGCCCCTGTGCCGTCACGAGATTCAACTTCATCGAATAGGTTTCCCTTTAACAACTATTCTTTTATCAGTGATAGTCAAATTTTTCAAACATTTATAGGGTTACCATAACACGCTGTCACTTTGACAAAATTGAAAGTACACGAATAACACAAATAACATAAATAATACAAAAATAATACCGAAAGTAAATTTGACATAAACATGGTTCTATTAGGTGAAACATTTCCAAACTTCGATGCGGAGACCCAAAATGGCACAATTAATTTTTATAACTGGCTAGGCGACTCGTAAGGCTATGTTTATTCAGTCAACATAACCTTTAATATTACACTATTCTTTTATATTAAAAAATTTCTATATACACTCTTGTTCCAGTCATTTTTTGTCATTATTTCGACTAATCGTATAAACAATTAATACTTAAACGTTTTAATTACTGTTTGTTTAATACAAAATTATGCAACGCGAGTGTATCTTTCAAGTAGAATTACCGGAACATGTTCATTTGTCAAAATAAATTTTATTAAACGAACTTCTATGCTTTTTAGATGGGGAATTTTATTTTCACATCCGAATGATTTTACACCGGTATGTACAACAGAATTAGCACGAGTGGCAACATTAATGCCCGAATTTAAAAAATTGGGTGTGAAAATTATTGGTTTATCGTGTAATTCAGTTGAATCACATCGTAAGTGGATAGAAGTAAGTTTCATAAAAAAGTTATTTTAAAAAATCTTTATTTGACATTTTACGAAGATAATAAACAATACAGGCTGAATAAGAATTTGAGAAATGCGACCTCATTTTTGTGTTTTTTTAGGACATAAAGTTCTACGGAAAAATAACCGAAGGGGAGTTTCCTTATCCAATAATAGAAGATGAATCTCGAAAACTCGCAGCATCATTGGGAATGTTAGATCCTGCAGAAGTTGATGGCTATGGTATACCTATGTCTGCTAGAGCAGTATTTATCATTGATCCTGCTAAAAAGATGCGATTATCAATTTTATACCCTGCAACAACTGGAAGAAACTTTGAGTAATTTCTTTTCTGTATCTCCAATGTTTTAATTTTTTATTTCCATTATCGTATGTTTATTAATACCACTTTTGGGCACAGTGAAATTTTACGAGTGGTTGAGTCACTTCAACTGACAGAGAAGTATAAAGTAGCAACTCCTGCTGACTGGAAGGTTTGTATTTATATCAACTATCTATAACATTATTATCCTTATGGTTATAAAATGATTAATTCTTTTCAGAAAGGTGAAGATGTTATGATTCAGCCTACTGTTTCTGATGATGAGGCAAAAACGTTGTATGACAATATTAAAACTTTAACACTACCATCAGGCAAAACTTATTTGCGTATTGTACCTCAGCCAACCTACACATAAATAATTCTTTCAAATATGAAAAACAATTATTTTACAATGTATTTTCTTAAATTACGACAATTGATGTTTGTAAAAATTAAAGTACACATTCTGATAATATACTGAATTTTTTCTAATATAGTACTGTTGTATTCTTCGAAGTATAATTATAAATAAGCGTATTCATTTAGTGCCTTAACATTGGTACATAACAGCATATCATTCCAAACAAAGTACAGTAGAAATGAACATTTTTTTATTTAAAATTTCTTATTAATAATTTAGGACAAAAATAATTGAAAATATTCCGT